AATGATCTATGGAGAAACAGGCAGATTTCCTATCCTTTTAAACTATCAAACAACGCGTGATTGTATTTTGGTCCATGCTAGCTGACCCAAACTCAGAGACATTGTCGCATAAAATATATAGACTTATATTGCAGTTACATTATCAGGTGGAAAACAATTCAGATTTATAGAATTTATAAAAAAAATACTTGATCAAAACGGATTCTCTTATATATAATCTAACCAATCGATATCATCTCTGAATACAAAATGTCTTAATATTCTATCAAACACAAAACTCAGGATCAATTTATTCAAAAATGGAACAACAATATTAGTTTTTCTTCTAGAGGAGAAATGTATTTTCTGATAAAACAAAACGTTATCACCGAAGAATATCTACTGAAATTGAACTCTTTTCAAAAATATATTTGTGACCCATCATATCAAAACGGGTCTTAAGTCTCATTTTGGAAAACATTGAATTTTTACATTTCTGAATTCACAATGAAATTGTCTCCATTTTGGTATCTCATTCGGGTTTCTAGCATAATTAGTTGAGATTTTATGGCAATTTTTCTATGACATTCCAGCAATTCGTGAAAAATCAACTTATGGAGAAAATGACGTTTAAAGTTTTGAACACTAAATCACTGCTAGTCCATAGCAACCAATGCGTTATATTAAAGATAGGGCAATTATTTTTTGTTAAGGGACACATGGGGATATACCTGAAATGTCTGAAAATATTTTCCGACGTTTGGCTGAAAATTGTCATTGCTATGGTAACGGCAGTGGACGTTCTATCTTTAAAGCCCAATAATGTGACGTTATAACCTTTGTTTGATACTGTTGCACAATCAACTTCTTTGAATTCATCCAAAATGTCACTAAATCATCAGTGCTAAGTTTACAGTTTCTCTTTTTTCCATTGTGTCTTTCAACAGGTGGCAATTCATCTTCTGACTCATCTTCAGAAGATAAACAATTACTTGGTTGATCGACTGGAAGGGGGCAGACAGTGTCTTGGCTTTCCTCAGTACAATATTCGCGAATCTTGTTGAAAAAATACCACTGTCGTTTTAGATCTAGTCCTGGTGGTTTTTGAACTTCGGGTAAGGCAGAAGGGGGATGAACTGACACATCTTTCAATAGATTTATAGCCTCTTCGTTTTCATCACATACTGTCTTGCAAAATATAATTCCTGGATGGTTAATATCAAATCTGAAAAACGTTAGACATGAAAATAAAATTAATAATAACCAGTATCTGAAGAATTTTTTGGCAAATCTTTCTAAACGAGATGTTGGAAATAAAAACCTATTTTAGATTCACAAATGTACGTCGGCTTGTGATGATTAACAAAACAATTTTTTTCGCTGCTTAACAAAATGATTTAGGCGACATAGCTTTTGTTTGATAAAAATAGTCTAAGCGACCCTCTTAGCCAATGAACGCTCGAGAACTATTCAAAATGGCTGCGCCTGTTACACCTCTCTGCACCAAGAAGGTGAAAACAGAGAAGTATGAGTAGTAAAACAACCAGATTAGCCAACGCGATGACTGACACACAGAGAATGAGAAATAATGACAACACTGGGTAACTCAGTTAAGCCTAAAGTTCAGCTTTAAAGACGGTACAACGGTGGATCTCAGGATTATACGATGCAGCACAACTAAGCCAATATTACCATCACAATAAGCATGTATAATATGGTTCAATCTGTCATTGCCAATACTAAAAGAAAGGAAGTAGAGAACCACTTTTTAAAATCTACAACACAACACAAATTAATAATACTAATTAATTCAGCAATATAATTCTACAACCACGTCTGTCTGAGCTTGTTTAAATTTTTTTTTTACAGAAACAATTTCAAATATTTATTAGGTCTCCATTCCTTTAAACAAAGTAGTTGACAAGTGGTACCGGCCTAGTTTGCCATCTAAACTTTTGAATTCAAAAAAGCTAAATAAATTCTGGCCCAAACTCTCATCAGCCAGGTAAGCTAAAATGTAAAATCACTCAATCTTGCTTATAAATGCATGTTAATGCTTGAAACCTCCTTTATTCCAGGTTAAAATAAAACAGGCAGACAGTGCATAAATCGGAAGGCCTTGCGACATACCATTTTCTTCTCAATCAAAAAAGTTGTTCTGTATCTCTGTCGTTCTGTTTGTACTTTTTTGGACCTTTCCGTCATTTTCGACAAATTAATGGTACAACTAATTTTTCCCATAATAAACATTTCCTTTTCACCATTTGTCAATGGATTAATATTCATTCTAAGATTTTTTATATCGTCGATGCGCTTTCAAAATCTCGTATATCGCCAAAATCTCGTATATAACTTTTCTGAACGTCGAAAATCTTCCCTCCGAGCCGCATCTATGTATCTTATTTTCGTACTTCTAGTCCAATTAGAAGTTCCGTTCAGGACATGTGACATAATCTCGTAAAATAATTGGTTGATTATTTTTTCCAATTAAAATCTCGTATATCGTAATTTTGATGTGACCTGATAAATAGACGACGTCGAGACGGCGTTGAGCCTAGAAAATAAACAATACAGGTGAGAATATTATTGAAAATAGTAAATGTATCAATGCCGTTATGTTTTATAAGATATGTAGGAATAATAGGCATTTTATTGTTTTAGTTTAGTGATTCACATCTGCCCAATAAGCAGTACA